GCATTCGAGCCCATTCCTTGCTACTCTATACTCTAGGATCATAGTAAGATCACAAGAAAAGGGCAGAAGTCTGAGGAGCCAGGGACATAGCCTCATTGTTCTTGGCCAAGGAAAGACTCAGGTCTCTAGAGATACCTGCAAACCTCACAAGCATGGCGTGACCACCCCTCAATCTCATTGTCAGGGAGAAAATGTCCTGCTTGCTCGGGGCAAAAACTTTTCTTACTAAAAAAAATTAGGACTCCTTGAGGAGAGAAAAAAATCTTAATCTAGGTTTGAGCAGGAAATACCCCTGCATGGTATAGAACATACTGAAAACAAGGAAACTATTAAGGGCAAGTAGTCTTTGACACAACATACAAACATAAACATACTTTTCCATATCTATCTCTGTATCCTTCTTACATGATGTGTGTTTACACATGAGTTCATACTGATACCTCCAAATCTATTCTAACACCACAAAGTATATTCTACTCTTTTTTTATTAGCATATTATAGTTGTTAAGGGGTACAAGTATATAACTATAACATAGGGGGTTGTACAGTGGGTAAAACTATGATACAGGTACAGATGACATTTGCATAAGTGCTTGCAATATCTTAATTAGATTCACCACCCTCCATCTTTATCCTTTATCCTTCCTCCCCTCCCCTTCTTAGAACAATTTCATCAGGTTTCACTGTTCTATTTTGATTCATGAATACAAAATACTTCTAACATATTTGCCCTACTTCACCCTTTCCTTAGGCCTTCTCCCTTCCCACTAGTCTCCACTCCTGGATAGAACCCTTTTTACCTTCTTTTCTTTTCTTTTGTTTTTTTAAGGAAAACATTTTGTTAGTTTATGGTAGTTATACCATAACTCCCATATGGGATTTTTTTTTTAATTTTATTATTCATATGTGCATACAAGGCTTGGGTCATTTCTCCCCCCTGCCCTCACCCCCTCCCTCTCCCCCCCACCCCCTCAATACCCAGCAGAAACTATTTTGCCCTTATTTCTAATTTTCTTGTAGAGAGAGTATAAGCAATAATAGGAAGGAACAAGGGTTTTTGCTAATTGAAATAAGGATAACTATACAGGGCATTGACTCACATTGATTTCCTGTGCGTAGGTGTTACTTTCTAGGTTAATTCTTTGTGATCTAACCTTTTCTCTAGGTCCTGGTCCCCTTTTCCTGTTGGCCTCAGTTGCTTTTAAGGTATCTGCTTTAGTTTCTCTGCGTTAAGGGAAACAAATGCTAGCTAGTTTTTTAGGTGTCTTACCTATCCTCACCCCTCCCTTGTGTGCTCTCGCTTTTATCATGTGCTCAAAGTCCAATCCCATTGTTGTGTTTGCCCTTGATCTAATGTCCACATATAAGGGAGAACATACGATTTTTGGTCTTTTGGGCCAGGCTAACCTCACTCAGAATGACGTTCTCCAATTCCATCCATTTACCAGCGAATGATAACATTTTGTTCTTCTTCATGGCTGCATAAAATTCCATTGTGTATAGATACCACATTTTCTTAATCCATTCGTCAGTGGTGGGGCATCTTGGCTGTTTCCATAACTTGGCTATTGTGAATAGTGTCACAATAAACATGGGTGTGCAGGTGCCTCTGGAGTAACCTGTGTCACAGTCTTTTGGTTATATCCCCAAGAGTGGTACTGCTGGATCAAATGGTAGATCAATGTCTAGCTTTTTAAGTAGCCTCCAAATTTTTTTCCAGAGTGGTTGTACTAGTTTACATTCCCACCAACAGTGTAAGAGGGTTCCTTTTTCCCCGCATCCTCGCCAACACCTGTTGTTGGTGGTGTTGCTGATGATGGCTATTCTAACAGGGGTGAGGTGGAATCTTAGTGTGGTTTTAATTTGCATTTCCTTTATTGCTAGAGATGGTGAGCGTTTTTTCATGTGTTTTTTTGGCCATTTGAATTTCTTCTTTTGAGAAAGTTCTGTTTAGTTCACTTGCCCATTTCTTTATTGGTTCATTAGTTTTGGGAGAATTTAGTTTTTTAAGTTCCCTATATATTCTGGTTATCAGTCCTTTGTCTGATGTATAGTTGGCAAATATTTTCTCCCACTCTGTGGGTGTTCTCTTTAGTTTAGAGACCATTTCTTTTGACGAACAGAAGCTTTTTAGTTTTATGAGGTCCCATTTATCTATGCTGTCTCTTAGTTGCTGTGCTGCTGGGGTTTCATTGAGAAAGTTCTTACCTATACCTACTAATTCCAGAGTACTTCCTACTCTTACCTGTATCAACTTTAGAGTTTGTGGTCTGATATTAAGATCCTTGATCCATTTTGAGTTAATCTTGGTATTGGGTGATATACATGGATGTAGTTTCAGTTTTTTTGCAGACTGTTAACCAGTTTTCCCAGCAGTTTTTGTTGAAAAGGCTGCTATTTCTCCATCGTATATTTTTAGCTCCTTTGTCAAAGACAAGTTGGTTATAGTTGTTTGGCTTCATATTCTGTTCCACTGGTCTTCATGTCTGTTTTTGTGCCAGTACCATGCTGTTTTTATTGCTACTGCTTTGTAATATAGTTTGAAGTCAGGTATTGTGATACCTCCTGCATTGTTCTTTTGACTGAGTATTGCCTTGGCTATTCGTGGCTTCCTGTGTTTCCAAATAAATTTCACGGTAGATTTTTCAATCTCTTTAAAGAATGTCATTGGAATTTTGATGGGAATTGCATTAAACATGTAGATTACTTTAGGGAGAATCGACATTTTTACTATGCTGATTCTACCAATCCATGAGCATAGGAGATCTCTCCACTTTCTATCCCATATGGGATTTTGATGTGACATTTCCGTATATACCTGTTATTATACCCTGAAATGGTTCACCCCCTCCATTACTCTCCCTCCTTCCCCATTCCCCTTCTTCTGGTGACTGCAGTAGATTTGTGTTCCATAGTCAAACTTGTATAAAAAGTATCTCAACCATATTCACCCTCGTTTTTACTTTCTTCAGTTTCCTTTCCCTTCCTACCAATACCCTCCCCTTATAAACCCTGTTTTTTATTCCTGTTCTTCTTTGTTTAGGTGTTTGTTCATTGTTCTGTGGGGATTTTTGCCTTGGTATTTTACCTATGAATGTATTATGCTAAGTCAGTTTAAGCCCCTCCACTACTCTTCCTCACTCTTTTACTCCTATCTTGTGTTGTTCAGCAGTTTTCAGTGTGTTTTGTTGTATTTTGTTCCTACACAGATGTGGTGTATTTAATTATTTTTCACTTTCTATCATTGTTCCCTTCTTTTCCTCCTCCCTTTGTTCTACTCTTCTTTCTTTCCATAGTTGACTAGTTTATGTCAAAAGAGGTCAGGCACCAACCTGAAGAGGCTCCCTCAGGCCATATTTGAATAGAAAGAACAATAATTGCAGTGTAGTAAGACATAGCAAATATACTGAAGTTCGTGACTTATGTCCCGTAAAAAACTGAGAATGTTGGCCATGCCTATAATCCCAGCTACTTGGGAGGCAGAGATTGGAAGTATCTCTGTTTAGGGACAGCTCTGGGGAAAAGTTAGTGAGACTCTCTCAACTTTTAGCCAGACATGGTGGTATGCACCTATGGTCCAGCTGTGAGGGAGGCATAGCTAGGAGGATCACAGTCTGAGGCTGATCCCAGGCAAAAATGTGAGACCCCCCCCAATCTGGAAAAATAACTGAAGCAAAAGGGGCTGGCAGTGTGGCTCAGGTGATTAAGAACACCTGCCTAACGAATACAAGTTCAATCCCCAGTGCTGCCAAAATAAAAATACATAATAATAATAAATAATAATAATAATAATAATAAATATCTTCATCAGTCACTTTAGAGGATGTTATTTTGGAAATTGATTCGATAAAGAGAAAGAATCAAATATTTAACTTGTCTCTCCTATATTAACAGTGTTATCAGGGTAACTGAAAAATTGAAAGAGAATTATAACCCCTAATAAAGTAATGGAACTAGGCAATGATCATCAATTCAAAAAGAGGCAAGTAGATAATATGTGCCTCCTGATGGAAATTGAAAGCCTATGTGTGAAATACCTGGTGAAAAATCAGGTATTAACCTGATAAAGTCTCAAGATATAACTCCCAGTGTAGAAGAAATACAGTAAACAAGGACACCATGCAGTGACCCATCAGGAATGTAGTTGGCAAGATGGGAAACCATAGAACCGATACCTTGTCTCTTAACAGATAATCACATTTGGAAAAAACTATTGAGGCCTGGTGCAGGAGCTCATACCTATAATCCCAGCTATTTGGGAAGTGAAAATTGAGAAGATCATGGTTTGAGGCTAGCCCCAGGCAAACAAAGCACCCATCTGAAAAATAACCTAAAGAAAAAAGGGCTGGAGGCATGGCTCAAGTGGTAGAGCACTTGAGGGGCTGAGTTCATACCATAGTACTGCAAAAAAAAAAACCATTTCTCATCTAAATAAGCTTCTCATCTAAATAAGCAAAAAAAGTATAGCACTGGTAAATAGGATGTTTCATATGACTTTTTATCTTTAGAAGTACCTGTTGAAACATGTAAGGTTGAAACTGTGATGACTAGGATTTGCCTTCCCTCTCTAGAGGGTAGGAATGTGGTAGAGGGGATATAAGATGGTCTTGAAGAGATCCTTATACTTTTCTCTATTTTTGTCTGTGTTTGGAATTTTCTGTAGTAAAATTTAAAAATAGAAAAGTGACGCTGCTGGCTCTGCGGTGTTTCCCAGAAGCAGGACAGCATCCTGGGAATGAGTGTCACCTCACAGGGTGCCTGCACATAGACCATAAAGCAAGGACATGGTGTTCGTCTCTTTCCTTTACCGTAGCATACAGTAGTCAGTTAACTATGGGTGAAGAAAGGTGACAGAGGTGACAGCTGACACCTGAGTAAATTGTGTTCTGAAACCAGTCCTGTGTAACATGACTGTGAGAGTTGGCCACTCAACCAATATAAGCCCAGGGCTACTGTCATATACCTGGTGAGATGATGTGTCTGACCTTCCTTCTTCCCAGGCTCAGGCTCGATGTCACCGCATAGGCCAAAGCAAAGCTGTGAAGGTATATCGCCTCATCACTCGAAACTCCTATGAAAGAGAAATGTTTGACAAGGCCAGCCTGAAGCTGGGCTTAGACAAGGCTGTTCTTCAGGACATCAACCGAAAGGGCAGCACCAATGGAGTGAGTAAGATAGACTTGTCTTGGAGCATTTGTCACATGGCCTGGGCCTCTCTGGGTTTTCCTTCTGACAGCTGTTTCTGGGTTCATTTTCACCATATAAGGTCTGCATATCTTTGTTGGGTAATTCCTTCAGTAGAGGATAATTCAGGGTCAGGTCTCTGCATTTTCTAAATGTATAAAGGAAATCTGTAGGAGCAGTTGTGTGGTAGGGCTGCCCACATAGCATGCAATGACCATTTAGTAAATTGTTACCCCATTTAAACTAGTACATCTTAACATTTTTTTTACTGTACAACTATGTATTGTTACCATGCCTTGTACTCCCAGACTTTGAGCTTCTGATGATACAATGGAACCAGTGTTATCTGTGTCCCCATGGCCCCTACAGAGTGCATATCACAATAAAGAAGTTCACTGCATGATGGTCGGTGGCTAATGAGTGATTAAATGAGCTTAAAAATGAGACTTAAAATCTTTTTTCTTCCTTGTGGGGAGGGCAATAAGAATTTCAGCTAAGATTCTTAAATTGTCTTACAAAGTAGAATATCTTCTTAATCTCTGGGTTTAGGGCATCAAAGATTGGGAATTAAAACATTCTAAACAAGTTCTCTGTAGTCCAGATGTTCTATATCCTCTTAGCTATGCATATGTTGCTAAGTATAATACTTCAAGTTACCCATCCTGGGAGTCATGGAATTCCTTTAATGATTGATATAAAAAGAACCAGATTCTTAATTAGAACCAGGAAAGGGTGTTTTGAGCCTCACTTCCTGTTTTCAACAGCAGTTGAGAAGATCACACTTGGCACGGAATTTTTTTTTAGTTAAGAGATGACATCATTTCCAATACAAATGTGTTTATTTAGTATGAATAAATCATTCTTTAGCTTGTTTGGTACTTCTGGAGGTTTTTAAAGATACAGGCTCAAATTAATATCTTAAAAAAAGGTGTCAAATATATCTTCTTCAATGGTACATAGTTTTGATGGTTTATGATATTTGACAATACCATTGTCCTAAAGAATGTTAGATCCTTTGGGTTATGTGTTGGGCTTCATTCCAGAGCTCCCTGTAAAGAATCGTCTGCCTGCCCTCCCTAGAGAGAACCCAGAGCACCTTCATCTGAGTTTTTATTTTCTGAAATTTATTGTCCCTATCCTTTGTTCTTCTGACATGTGCAATTAATGGAGTAACTATATACTTAGTCATAAAGGTCAGATTTGGGGCTGTTTTTCTTCTTTGCAATTTCCACTTTGTGAGTAGTTTTTGCTGTTCAGGTACAGCAGCTCTCAAAAATGGAGGTTGAGGACTTGCTCCGGAAAGGTGCTTATGGAGCCTTAATGGATGAGGAGGATGAAGGCTCCAAGTTCTGTGAAGAAGACATAGATCAGATCCTGCAGAGGAGAACCCACACCATCACCATCCAGTCAGAGGGGAAAGGGTCCACTTTTGCCAAGGTACAAGACCTCCTTCCACAGTCCTCATTTGTTGGGGGAGGGAAAAGAAAGTTGTTTGTATTTTGACCCTCATTAGCAAGGCTTTGTGTCCTTCAAATGTAAGCCCTTGACATTGTTCTGCTGCATATGTAGACTGTGTGACTCTCTGAAGATATAGGTGCTTAGAGGGAGTCTGGATAGTGAGTCAGGGGCTATAGAAGGGAAATACTCTGAGCCTTTGAGAGCTGATGGTCACAGGCAGGTAGATGCTCATCTGCATTTTGCTCTGTCCACTCTTCATGAGGACTGTTCCAGAACCCTTGAGTGGTCATCTTAATTCCCTCATAGCACTCTCCTTGATGTACTGTCAGACCTCTAGTACACACTCCATTTCTCACACTTACGCAGGTATTTCATTTCATGGGAAAGAGATTTTACATAAGATACCCAGCTTCTGGTCTTTGGAACCTTGTTCCTCTGCTTTTCAGGTCACTGTGTTTACAACTTTGCAAATCACTCTTAGGTTTGCCCTTGCTGCAGACTCTGCCATTGCTCTTGTGTGCTTTGAGACCTGTTTGATTTAATGTCCTTTTTTGTGACTCGTAGAACTTTCTCAGTAGGATGCTTTATGCAATGTAGGAAGAATATGAGTGATTTCTTGATTATTTCTATACCTTATACTGCCCAGCCCGGTGCCTTTCTTTAGAAAAGACATTTGGTAACTATAGAACTGAAAGAAAAATTAAATTTAAAAAAATCTTTTAAGAATTAATACTTTAGTGTGGTGGCACATGCCTTCCATTCCCAGCACGCAGTAGGCTGAGGCAGAAGGATCTTGAGTTTGAGGCCAGCCTGGGCTACACAGCAAAATCCTGTCTCAAAAAAAAGAATTCTTTTATAGGGAACTAGACACCAAGTAGCACATTGCTATTGTCTCCAGGGATTGTCTTCCTGCTTCCAAGTTCTAAAAATGATCCTGGATGTTGAAATTTTAATTTTCTCACCCAATCTTTAACATAAAAGGAAAAAATAGTTTGACATTTCATATTCATTTTTGAAGCACTGTAAGATTTTGGTTTTGATGCAGATAGATAATATACATAAGTTTATGGTTTATTTGAAATAATGATTTTATTAGTTTGTACTGTGTTCAGGTACAGTTTATTAACTCTTGTTTCCTTCCCAGGCTAGCTTTGTGGCTTCAGGAAACAGAACAGATATTTCCTTAGATGATCCTAACTTCTGGCAGAAATGGGCTAAAATAGCTGAATTAGACACTGAAGCAAAGAATGAAAAGGTAGAGCATATTTTATTCCACTGAACATTTTACTGTTGTTGTCTCATGTGACTATAAATTCTTATGCAGCCAGTCATTACTCCTGAGTCTTGGTTCTTAAATGAGGTGCTATTGTAACACACTTAAAACATGCCTGGCATATAGACAGCACTGGATAAATGTTTACTGCTATAACTTTACAATGACGTAATGGGACACACAGTCTCTAGGGCATAGGAAGTTAGATGAAGGCAGTTAGAGCTGGAACTCACCAAGCAGGTCAAGTTCAGCCTCTCTCATCCCAGTATACCATCTCAGGCATATAACTTTTCTACCCTTGATTTCAGTACTTCCTGTGAAAGCAGCCTTGGTCTCTTTAACAAACAAACAGAAGAGGCAAAAGCATGACAAAGTTTAAAAGTTGCTGACTTTACCTCCATTTCTTCAGTGTCTCATGTTTTCCTATTTACGAACATGGGAAAGAGAGGGGGCTTTAAAATGAAACCCAAGTGTGCCTTTGATCAAGGTACTTGGCTTCACCAAGATAAGTGGAAGAGGAGGTGGTGAAGCTAGGAGGGTGTAAGGTCACATTGAGAGTAGGCTCCAGTGCCTGGCCAGGTGTGAGGCACCTATAAAAGTAGTTTCCCTGTCTCCATCTCTGTCAGCCCACTTCAGGATGAGTACACATCCTTTCTCTCTGTCTTCTCAGGTGAGAGTTGAATTTTTGTGGACTCAACCTAGGAAATAATCTGTGCTGATGTTAGTGACAATCTGTCTCTAAGTCGGTGACTAGTACCCAGTCACAGCTGTTTTTCTGTAGGACTGCCGGTGGGTGCTTAACCCAACCTCTTTTCTCCAAATAGAAATCTTAAGAAGATTCTGAATCCCCTGTAGTAACCTGCTGGAAATGCCTTACAGTGTTACAATCAACGAGCCACTCTGTGCGTAGGACTTCGGGGGAAAGAGAGAAAGGAAGAATTCTTGTCCTGTAGGCAGTAAAACATGGTGGGAACATTCCTAGGAGGGAAGCAAGGTCACTGAGGCAGAGATGGTTCTGAAAGTTGGCTGTCTGGGCTCTCCAGAAGAATGTTCAGGAGTTTGGCCTGACTTTGGTAGTGGGGGTGGGGGGAGGAAATAATGGGACTAAAGAAGAAGCAATGGGCATGTGACCAGGGAACCACCAAAATGAGAGATTCCTGAGCAACAGATTTTGTCTTTTGGTGAAGGACAAAGGATTAGTAGATATACCAGAGGAGGCAGATAATGAAGCAGCGGATGTGCATTCATCTTCAGAAAGTTGCTAAGTAGATGGACTTCTCTGACCTGACCTGTCTCCAGAGTATAGACTGCTCTCTGCGTGCCAGACAGAACAGCTAGGGCTCACCACTCCATTTGTTCTTGGCAAGAACAGACAGCCACTCTAGGTACTTTAGGGCCTTGCCTGCCCATGCCACTGTTTGAGTCATGGCAGAAACAGTGTGTGGTGGTGGACAGCAATGGGGGCTAGAGAACACACCAACTTGAGCAAGTCCCAGTAAAGCCCTTGGCTTGTCCTGGGGTCTTGGAGACAGCAGGTATTCTGTGAAGAGCCTTTCTTGGCACAGGAATGAGATAGGGTGGTTCTTCCTCACATGTGCCCTGATGAATGGCAGCAGGATATGTTGTGCTTTGCAGTGGGGGGTAGAGAGAAGAGGGGCCTTCTACCAAACAGTCTTCTCCATCTCCAGGAAAGCTTAGTGATTGACCGACCTCGCGTGAGAAAGCAGACCAAACACTACAATTCCTTTGAGGAAGATGAACTCATGGAGTTTTCAGAGTTAGATAGTGACTCAGACGAAAGGCCCACAAGATCCAGGCGCCTCAATGACAAAGCTAGGCGCTACCTCCGAGCTGAATGTTTCCGGGTAGAAAAGAACCTGCTCATCTTTGGGTAGGTATTGGCTCTGCTTGGTAATGGTGGTGCTGTTGTTCTTGTTTTCTCACTTTGTTTTTCAGTCCCTAAGATTTGTGCAGTGTGTCTCCCCAGTCCTCTGGAGTTGTGGGGTTGATGAGATCTGCTGGAGGAAGAGAGCTGTGCTTTCTACTCAAATCCCCTTTAATCCCTTTGTACTCTGCAGCCATAGTGTAGAGGTGCCATGATTTTTTCAAATGCTTGTCACAGCAAATCTCTGGTATTAATTTGCTGCCTGGTGCTGATTTCCTGTATTTTTTTCCCCAAGGACGTGTAAGGAGTCAGTGCAACAGATGTTACAGTCAAGGCACAATTTGTGTAGCATTCTGGCTTTGGTAGAAATAGAAGGCTTGCCTTCTGTGAGCTCACAATTGCTTTTGAATACTGCAGCTGGACTCAGTTTCAATTCCAGATTTATTCCCTGCTCCCAGTGTTTTAGTCCATCACTTTATAACAACCTAGTAGCCATCTGAAGCACTAGTGTCCAATGACTAGGTCATCTTAGTGATGTTTGATGGGCTACAGTCACACGCTCCTCAAAGACCTTTCAGGACAAAAGCCCTCAGGGTGATTAATAGACCCAAAAGAGAATGAGAAGCATCTTGGCTCTTGTTTCCTGTGTGTGGTGGGTGCATGATGGCCCTTTCCCCTACCCCTCAATGCCCTTCTATATTCCTACCATCAGCTGGGGCCGGTGGAAGGACATCCTGACTCATGGGCGATTCAAGTGGCACCTGAACGAAAAGGACATGGAGATGATTTGCCGGGCCCTGCTGGTGTACTGTGTCAAGCATTATAAGGGAGACGAGAAAATCAAGAGTTTCATTTGGGAACTGATCACACCTTCCAAAGATGGGCAGTCCCAGACCCTCCAGAACCACTCAGGTGAGAGGTTTAAAGGCCATGCCTGAGGAACATGAGTTCCCCTCTTTTATCCCCTCTCCTGTGTAGTTTCATGTTGCTGTGCTTTGGGGGACTTCTCTTTCTTGGATATATTTCAGAATGTTACCTGTGGGAAAGTATGGGGATGCCCTCAGTTCTCCCTCTGGACCATACAGTTCTGCTTGTTCTATTTTGTTAAAGGACAATTGGCCCCTCTTACTGTTTTCTACATGCAGTCCTGTTCACTTACCTGAACCTCACAGGGTTCCTTCCCCAAGCTGAGGACTCACACTTTGTGGTCTGAGACTCACCTTTTGTATTTTACTAGTCTGTCCATGTCCCATCTCTGTTTTGCCTTTCCTTGTGCTGTACTTCTTCCCTGTGATTGGCCAAAGCTCCCCTTCAAGTTTTAGGTCAAATCTTCCTTTTCCCCCTGCTGAATTTGAAGAACCCAAAGGGCACAGGCACCTTTCTTAGTTCTCCCAAGGTATTCATTAAATCTTACTGACTGACTAAAGAGTCCTGGCATTGACTAAGTAGAGGATCGGGTACATAACCTAACTACCTATGGACTGAAGAGTGGGGCCTGTTATCCAGGATCTACCATTCATGATCTGGCTCGTCTTTGCAACCCCAGCCTGGCTGTGATTTTATACCCATGTGAAGTCCTTTTGGCACATCCACATGCCAACACTGTCTTTCTGTTTCAGGGTTGTCAGCCCCAGTCCCCAGAGGGAGAAAAGGGAAGAAGACAAAGAACCAGCTACTGCTCCCAGAACTAAAGAATGCAGACTGGCTAGCCACCTGCAACCCTGAGGTGGTCTTGCATGATGATGGCTATAAAAAACACCTCAAACAGCACTGTAACAAGTGAGTGTGCCCCTCCCCTGGGGGCAGCCTTGCTCAAACTGCCCAGGCTCCTGGACACTCCATGGGGAGACCACTTCATGCTCTTATACTACTTTCCATGCAAGGTCTATGGAAGCTGTGGTCTAAACTGAGTCAGAATTCATTTCATGTTATAGCTCTACTCCTTTAACAGTGTCTCTTCTCTCCCACAATACATTATGTACCCTGAAGATCTTTCTAATCTACTCTCAAAAGTCAGTCAGGATGTCTTCTGCCTTTAAGCCCACAGTAGCATTTTCTACCCAGATCTAATAGAAATTTTGCCTTTTTAAGACTTCATTATTAATTTATTTTGAATAGGTCATAGATACATTTTAAAAATTTGTGTCAAAACTAACTTTTCCTTCTAACGCCCCTGTTGATCCCTGCAGAGGCAGCAGCTGTTAACCTGGTTCTAATGCTAGCCTTCACTCTTGCCTGGCATTGAATAAATTCCAAGCATCCTTCCAGACCTCTGTGCTTAGCCTTCAGTGTGAAGCATTTCCTCCTCTTCACCGTCCGTATTTTCACACTGTTTGTACACTGTCACCTTCTGTGCTTGCTTTTTTTTTTCTTCCTTGTGATTGGTCTGATTTCACAACTAAATTCCTATAGGTCCCTCAAGAACGAGGTCAAATTGTTTATTTTGTTAAATACCTTCACAGCACCCAGCGTTATCCAGGGCACACAGTAGATGCCTAACAAATGCTTGCTTAACTACTTTGTGTAAAACACATTTGATGCCTTGCCATGGAGCCTGAGTGTGGTCTGTACAAAATTGAAATGAATTCAGTACCTCACACGAGAGAAGATATATCGCCATATTTATTTCACTGTATACGGGAGAAAGTGTTTGGAAACGTTACTGATACCGTCTGAAGGCTCTGATGAGGGTCCTTTTCCTCCACCCAGTAAAGAATTAAAAAGCGAGGAAATAAAGCAAAGTAGATGGTAAAGGCACAAAGCAAAGTAAGGTTTGTTGAAATCAAAAGTATTGAAGCTAAGTCAGTCACCAGGACTGTGAAGAAGCTGTTGGGAATATTAACACCACCAGAGCACACGTAGATAACAAAGTAGATAGATAGCAAAAAGTCAGAGAACGAAAACAAAAAGGCTTCTCAAACAAAAAGGGTGACCCAGAAACCAGTAGCCCCCTAAAGTGCCCAGGGACTTCCTTTTTATTCCCCTTGAGTCCCTTCCCTTCTCCATTTCCATGCAGGGCGTGTATTCTCTGTATTGGTCATGTGTCCCTCACACACACACTTTAGGAACACGAGGGGCATTCTCCTGTTGCTTGAGTTCATGTGTGACCATGACCATGAGCATGGAAGAAGTCCGAAAGGAGTTACCCCTGGACTACATGGAGGTTCATGGTGGCAGCCTGTGGGAAAGTTTTCAGTGTGGTTTACCAGGCCTCAGGGTGTGGTGCAGGCACTCCACAGCTTCCTTTCCTTCAGTTTCCCGCAATTCAGCTGCTATCACTAGCGCTGTATTGCAGACCATTCCCCCTTCATTACCATTCAGTATTACTCACTCTTCAGCAACTAGTAAATTGGTAACTGGCCTTTTGAAACATTCTGCCTCTAAAGTCATTGTGACCATATGGAAGGGTGTGGAAGGGGCAAGTTCTCTGAAAGATTAGGTGGAGCACTGTATGTCTCTGCTCACCCCCATGGTTCACAGAACAACCACGAGGAGATGGTTGTTTTCTTGAGATGGACAGTCACAGTAATGTCTGCCATTGGTACATGGTATCATGTTCTTCCAGTGCTTTTTGGTATATTCTTTCATACCACTAACTACACAGGAATATCCATACTTTCCTTGTCTTAACTCAGGAATGTGTTCATAGGCAGTCATGGGATTCTAATGTGTTTGCATTAATGTGGTCATCTTTCATAGGGTCCTTTTGCGAGTCCGGATGTTATACTATCTAAAAGCTGAAATATTGGGAGAAGCAGCTGATAAAGCATTTGAGGGAACTCCAGCCAGGTAAAACAAATCAGACCTTAGCTTTCAGTGTTAAAGAATTGACATAAAGTGCCTTTCATGGACTGACCAAACTGGTCTGTGCTTCAGGAGACCCATGTTCCTACCCTGACCATGACCAGCTCCCTGGAAGGTAGAGATGGGTAACATGGTCAGGTCATCTGCAGATAAAAGAAGGGAGAAAATAGGCTTTTAGAAACTCAGTTTTTAGGTAGGTTTTTAGTCTCCTCCTCCCCCCCTACACACACACACACACACACACACACACACACACACACACACAAACAAACAACACACACACACAGTATTGTAAAATTTCTTTTAAAATTATCTTTGTAGAATGAGTGTCAGTTACTTTTTTAGGCTTTATCTTCTAGGTATGTATTCTGGGCAATGAATGCCCAGAATTCATTTTGGCCTTAGTACTCATGCATTTAAATTTCTCCTGGGTTTTTTGTTTTTGTTTTTGTTTTTGTTTTTTTTTTGGCTAATCATATAAGATCTTGTGGCCTAATTGATTTGTTACATCTTCATTTTGTAAACTAGCACTTCCAAAGCTGTAGAATCCTGAGGGAATCTCGAAAGCTTTCAGAAAATGAGGCTGCTAAGCTATTAGCTGTCATTTGATAATGCTGTCAGAAAGTCATAGTTTATAGGTGGGATCACCAGGTGGCCTCCTTCACCTTCCCCAGAACTGCAGTTTTTTCTGTACACATTCATCATTCCCAGAGAGCACAAGAAGTACTAATATTTGGACTTTGAGGTTACCTGAGGACATGGTTTCTTCTTTCTCTTTCTCTCCATTTGGCAATGCCAGTGGCTTTAACCACCACAAAAGCACTACAGGAGAGAGGAACATAGGCAGCCCTACCCATGGGCCAACTTACAGCCAGGACCAGTCCTCACTGTGACTGTTACTACTTGATAATACCTTTCAGAGTCACTGTAGTATTTTCCAGCAGGGATAGGGAGATGTGTTTTGTACAAAGTTTAAGTTAAATCATAAAAGTGCAACAATTCAACCTTATATTTATATAAGATGCTATCTTAGCAGAAGTAAATCTTGAACTTACTCATCACCTGTCATGCTTTCTTAGACATGTAGGAAGTGATGAGTGTTAGTTCCTTAGAAGATGGACAGGATGAGTCTGCTGCCCACTTTTTTCTTTCTGCTTCTCTGCTTTCTTTTCAGTTCTTGATGGCTCTGTTCAGGTTTATTGCCATGGTGTGGAGCAGTTGCCCTAAGATATGAACTACAGTCATCCCAGAAAAGTTTCTCAGCCTATGGCACTGTGCAGGCAGAGCATTGGGTTTCTGGAAAGCTAGAGGCCAAGGAACACTAACCCCACAGAGTAAGCTGGGCCTAACGAGGAGCAGTCAAGCTTATGTCACAAAAAGAAGAACCTTATGAAAGAATTTTCAAATGCTACAGAGAAACCATCCCAAACAGTGGGGAAGGTTTGAGAGGAGCCATCCAGGCAGATAGTCTCCCCTCATACCTGAAAACCTTCAAAGACGTAGAACTCAGATGAATGAAGGCAGTGAACTAAGGGTCCATGAGTGCCCTTGGAGTATGGACAAAAACTCACAGAAGGGCTGATGGAACATATCTGTTAAACCCTGCATGTCTGCACCCTAGAGCAAATTATATTCATTCCTTTGTCCTGAAATATAATCAGTTTTGACCTAACAGATTTCTTATCCTCTGAAAGGCCCTCTTTAGATCCCTGAGTATACCAGTGTAAACCATCTTGTTCTCAAATAGGGTATGAGATCTTGTATGTTGAGGCAATGTATTGATGCAATATTATTTGGGCACTGTTATTTTAGGCATCCAATCATATATGAGTTTGATGATTTGTAAGAAATTCTGCCTTCAGATGACCGATGCATCAGTGGCTTTTCCTGTGGTTCTCAACTAAAGATGCACATCAGAACTACCTTATTATGTAGCAATCTCAGAGCCAACTGACAATGGATTCTCTCAGGGTTCCTTTAGTCTAAAGCAGAGTCTTCTGGAAATCAAGTACACATGCTTAGATAGTTCACTAGGTGATTCTGACACAAAGCCCCATTAAGAAACATTAACCCACAGCTTTCTGAATCCTTCCCTTTGGTTACCTCAGCATGCAACTAGGAGTGTGGCTTAATACCAGGGTTGGTCCACTAGCTTTTATGCTATTTGTATCTGTGTGGAAGGATCTCTGAGTCTACGCCTTTCCTTCTGTAGGGAGCTAGACGTGCCTCTGCCAGACATTGACTACATGGAGATCCCAGTGGATTGGTGGGATGCTGAGGCTGATAAGTCCCTTCTCATCGGTGTGTTCAAGCATGGTGTGTATTTCAGAAATGTTTTCCTTTTTTGGATCAGTTTCCCCAGGAAAATGATTGAGGCAGTCTTTACTAAGCTCCACATGTTCCTACAAACTCCACAGTCCTATTACACATTCCTTTTAGGAAATAGAGCTCTGCCCACTTAGAGTCTTGACCAGGTGAATTTGTGACTCATAAGAGTACTGTGAATATATTACTGAGAAATTTCAAAAGGGCAACTATGATCCCAAAGAATTTGCTGTGTGTTTTATATCTTCTCTTGCCTGTTTGCACTTGGTGTGGGGCCGCCTCCCTCTCGTTAAGTCTTTTTTTGTTTTGTTTCTAGTACTACATGATTCACTTTATTCATAAAACATCCATAAAATAACGTAATTGCAGAAATAGAACATTAGTGGTTATTAGTGAAGAGAAATGGGGTGAAGGGGAAGATATAATCATAAAAGGGGTAGAAATACAGAGTTTTGTCTCATTCATTCCTAACGGTCCTGGTGGCTGACCTACTGCCTGGCACATAGTAGAGTACCCTCTGTTCCTTGAGTGAAAGAATAAAAATGAAAGAGCTAGGTTTTAGCATTTCATGTATATGCAGAATTCTAAGGTCATTGGAGGTAATCTAAATATTCTTAGTATGTGTCTCTTGCCTTATTGCTACAAAAAGCTAAACAAAGACAATGGCACAATGTTTTTTTCTCCCTTTTTAAAGATGTTTACTGGGAGATTAAGGGGACCAAGAGGTGTTTGGATAGCTTGGAAAAACTGGAACATGTGTCCCCTATCATCACTTCTGTGCTGTTTTAAAAACCTGTTCTTTCTTTCAGCTGACTGCCAAATGTTAACAGATAGTTTGCTATTGAGGGATCATGTGTTAGGAAGCCCTGCTACACTACGTGTGCACCTTCGTTAGGTGCAAGTTGTAGTGCTGCAGCCATTTTCTTTATTAAGAAACACAAACTGTGGGCTGGGGGCATGGCTTAAGTGGTAGTACACCTGCCTAGTAAGCACAGACCCTGAGTTCAAACTTCAGTACCACCAAAAAAATTAAAAGAACACAGCTGTTCATGGACTGGAGTTTAGTGGATTTTTAGTCCTCCCTAGACAGCCTGCTACAGCTGTGCTTAAATGAGAAAGTTTCATCTCCAGGCCAACGCCAATAAAACAGTTGAATCTTTGGTTGGGACTTTAGCCTGCAGTATGAAGCAAAAAGTCTAGGCTCAATGATGTTCTCAATGGCTCTCAATTGCATTGAGTGACAACAGCCCCTCTGGAGCAGCCTGAATTTATGGAAAGTTCCTCGAGATCTGGATTTTAGTATTTCTGTTCATATTCTTAGAGAGGACTTTATAGGTGTAGTGAAAAGAAGCAGCCTCCACCTCCTCAGAAGCTTGTCATTGTTGCTGTCTGTCTTTGCTTTGACATTACAGCTCCTGCTAGCCTCTTTACAGGATAGTTGTTAGAGCTTTCTAAGAAACTGAATCAATCACTCCCTCGCTTCCAGCTTCACAGCTAATTGAGAAATAGAAATGCAGAATCTGTCTCTAGATATCAGACCCATGTTGAGTTTTGTTAAAAGATTGTGTTAGATTCAGTAAAATAATAACACTTTTCCATATTCTCAAAAGTATTTGTTTCAGTGTTGTGCCTTCCTTTGAAATCCTTCTGGATCAGAATGCTCCATCTGTTGACTTTGTGGATGCTGTGAGGAGCAATTCCTGATCAGTGTGAATTAGGATTTCTTACTGAGTTTGTGAATACAGAGGCAACAGATCCATTTTAACCCAATAAGCAGTCATCATAATCCTCTTTGTAGTTCAGCCCCTGCATCCATTATTTACTCAGCTTCCCTTTGTATTAGACATAGGATATATATTAGACATAGGATAGAAACTGGACTGTAAGAAAACATGGCCCACTTAGGACATAAGGTATCCAGAGTTGAAGATAGGAGGAAGAAGTTTGCAAAAGCAACTCGTGATTCCCTCTGTCCAAAAGCAGCAAACCAGTGAGAATTGTATCTGGACCCTGCATCTGTTCATGGACACAGTATTTACATAAGCTTTCAGTTTCAGTCAGACACTGCTCAGAAGTGTCTGCCTTATTTCCCAGGTCTTTTCTGATAAGGAGATCTCAGAGGATCTCATTAATTTAAATAAGTTTTTTTTTTTGTTTTTGATTGTTTTGCTTTTTTTTTTTTTTTAACTTAATAAGGGAAACAAAATGACTATGTAGGGCCCAAGGTAGATCTGGTGAGTTCTAACATGACTTCTGATGCTTCTCATTGCTCCATCAGGTTATGAGAGGTACAATGCCATGAGAGCAGACCCAGCACTTTGCTTCCTGGACAAAGTTGGGATGCCAGATGAAAAGTCCCTTTCTGCAGAACAGGGTGTTACAGATGGGACCTCAGACATTCCTGAACGGTGAGAATATGACCCATTCTACCTATATCCAGTACTCTTCCTGACTTTTCCTCAGAGTCTGGCATCTCCCTTAAACCTTGCTACCTACCCCTGCCTTCCCAAATTGCTACTTTAGATCCACCCTTCCATGCCTCTGACCTGTTCTTTGGTTCCCCTTGCTGCCCACCATCCTGGCCAGCTTTCTGGTTAAGCATTGAAGTAAAAGATTTCTTCTATCTCCAGGATCTGAGCAGCAAGGACAAGCTTATTTGGGACAGGAATATTTCAAAGTCAATTTTAAAAAGAATTAGGAAAACAGATAGACATCAGCAACAGTTAAGCTCATAAGAGAAGATATTAGGTAGTTAATAAGGCACAAGTATCTGATGACAAAGAGGGCAAAATGCCCTCCCTTCTCAAAAGTGAAGCAGAACTTCCTTCTAAAAAAGTACCTTTTGCCAGATATAAGTGATTCTGTGGAATGATTCATCCCACTGTGGTCTAGGATGGCACATCTGGCCTCACTTGTATAGCGTAACCTTCAATCTAGAGTCTGTTCTTTCATCGGAGCCACATATGCATACAGCTCTTGAAGGACAGTAATTACCCTTTTTCTCATCGTATCATCATTGAACAGCCAGCCTCTGAACTTACCAATGAGGTTGGAGTCTCATGCTGCAATCTCAGTTGAGTGGAAGTCCTTGCCCATAGAAGTGATGACAATGTTTGGTGATTGTTTCTCTCATTCTATGTCTCTTGAGTTCTCCCAAAAAGAAGGGAAAAACTAAGATTTGGAGTGTCTGTGGGAGAAGGGATCTACTAATATTCCCTTTAGTTCATGATGGTTTGAGTTCATGATGGTTTGTGTGTGGAGAGGGGTCTTGCAAGCATCCTGGTAGCAAAGTAACTCCCAGATGGTATATGATTACCTTTATGTAGAGGCAGCATGGATAAAGAAGACAGTGCTGAGGACAGATTGGATGGCCTCCAGAAACAAACGGTGAGTCCAGCGTACTGTATTGGCAACCCTCACGGTATTTCATATCGAGAGAGAAATCCTCATCTTGCTTGTGGTGAAACTGGGGAATTGGATTGCATTGCTGAAGCTGCATTGTATTACCCTCAGGATCTTATTATGAAAATTTCTAACAGATTGTATTACATTTTTATTCTAATGAAGCTTTTTTGTTTTCAGATAGCTGCAGATTTTAGATGCAGTTATAAAATATAATGTAGAAAGATCCTGTGTACCCTTTATCAAAACATAGTAACATCTTGCAAAATTATAGTACAGTATCACAACCAATTTGCAATACTAGTATTGATAGAATTAAGATATAGGATATTTCCATAACCCCATCAGTATGTTGCCATTTTATAACTACATCTACTTCTCTTCCACTTTTACCCTCTTTTTAGTTCTTGGCAATCATTAATCGTTATATTCTTAATATTACAGAAATGGAATCACAGTATATAACCTTTGGGGTTTGGCTTTTTTCACTCAGCATAATTCCCTAAAGATTCATCCAGGTTGTTATCTATACCAACCCTAGTTCATTCCTTTTCATTGCTGACTAGTATTTCATGGTACAGATAAACCACAGTTTGTTCAACCATTCGTCCATTTAAAGACCCTGGGGTTGTTTCCAGGTTTTTACTATGTAAAAATAAGTGTTCTATAAATATTTGGATATTGATTTTGTGTGAACATGCATTTTCATTTCTCTGGGATAAATTCCAAGAATATATATATAATTGTAGGGCCACTCTGCAGTTTGACATTTTATCCCGTTTACATTGTCTTTAACAGAACAAAAGCTTTTAATTTTGAGAAGTCAGCTTACCAGTTTTTGCATTTATGGATAATGCTTATGATGTCAAGTCTAATAACTCTTGCGTACCTATAGGTCTTGAAGATTTTCTTTTTTTTTTCCTAAAAGTTTTACAGTGTTACATTTAAGTCTATGATTCATTTTAGGTTAATTTTTTTTTTTTTTTTTTTTTTTTTTGGTGGTGGTGGTACTAGGGTTTGAACTCAGGGCCTTGCACTTGCTAGGCAAGCACTCTACCACTTGAGCCATGCTCCCAGCCCTTTTTGGTTATTTTTCCAAATAGGGTCTCACATTTATGTCCAGGCCAGCCTGGATCACAATCTTATTTATGCTTTCTGTGTGACTGGAATAACAGGCACATGCCACCAGGCCCAATTTTTTTAATTAGTTGAGATAGGGTCTTACAAATGTTATGCTTGAATGATCTTGAACCACAACCCCCTCTACCTCTACCTCCTGAGCCTAGTTTTTTTAGGTTAATTTTCATATCAATGAAGATAATTATATCAAGATTCTTTTTTTTTGAGACAAGATCTCTGTGTAACCCAGGCTAGCCTCAAACTTAAGAGCCTCATGCCTGAGCTTCTAGAGTGCTGGAATTACATTGCATGCTACCTTGTCCAGCTGAAGGTTTTTTGTTAGTTTTTTTAAAACCTAGTCATGTCCCATCACTCTAGAACCATTTGTTTAAAATGCTGTCTTTCCTCCACTAACTTGCTTTTGTGTCTTTAGTGAGAAAAATCATTTTTGGCATATTTGTGTTGCTCTATTTCTGGATTCTCTGTTTTACCCATTAATCTACTTATTTCTTCCTTTGCCAGAAGTAGTCTGGATTGCTGTAGCTATGTAATAAGTCTTAAAAATGGAAAGACTTGTTCCTCTCACTTTATTCTTTTTTAAATTGTTTTAGCTTTTCTTGTTCCTTTGCCTTTCCATGTAAATTTTAGCATAAAATTTTCTGTGTTTGTAGAAACTTTTGCTGCAATTTTGATAGGAATTTCATTAAATCCTCACATTACTTTGAGGAGAATTGACATCGTGAGGAAATTGACAATTACCGTATTGAGTTTTCTCTATATTGCCTCTTACCATACATCTCTCTATTTCAATCTGTTACTACTTTTTTTTTTTTTTTTTTGTCTTTTTTAGAGGTGTAGTACTGGAGTTTGAACTCAAGACTTCACATTTACTAGGCAGGTGCTATACCACTTGAGTCATTCCTTCAGCCCTTTTTGTTTTGGTTATCTTTCAAATAGGGATAGTGTGCCTCATTTATGCCCAGGCCAGCATGTACCATGATTCTCATGTTTACTCTTCCCTTGTAGCTGAGATGACAGGCCCATGCAACCAAGCCCAGCTTTTACTGGTTGAGATTGGATCTCAAAAACTTTTTGCCTAGAATGGCCTCAAACCACATTCCTCCTGATTCCTACCTCCCAAGTAACAAACACCCCTAATCCTAGAAAAATAAGCAAAAGCCCCCAGCTTTTTTTCTTTCATCAACATTTTGCAGTTTTCACCATGCATGTCCTATCCATTTCAACATTTCATTTTCTTTGAAGTGATTATAAGCAGTATTGTATTTTTAACTTCACTGTCCCCATGTTCATTGCTACACAGAAATATAATTGGTATTTTATGTTTATCTAATATTCTGAAACCTCGTTGGACCACTTTTCAGTTCTAGGAGCTTTAGGAGCTTTTTCCACAGGCTTCTTTGGATTCTACTTGTCAACAACCACGTCATCTGCAAATAGGGACAGTTGTCTCCCTCTGCCCCCATTATTACACTGGTAAAAACCTCTAACCCTGTTTTGAATGAGAGTGGTGGTATAGGTATCCCTTGCCTAGTTCCAATACTAGGAGAGAGACATTTATTTACTCTTTTACCATTAAGAATAGTGTTAGCTGTAGATTTTTAATTTCTTATATCAAAGATGAGGATGTTCCCCTGTGTTTTCTGAGTTTTTATATGAAATAGGAGAAAAGGGGAGAAACATTTCCTGCTTCCCAGGAAATGGGAGTAGACTCCTCTTAGGGTCTTTTGTTTTGTTTTCTGAAAATATCTTAATATCGCCTCCTTTCCTACAGGATATTTTCACTGGATATTGGATTCTGGGTTGAATCCTTCAGCTCTTGAGAAATGTTATGCTTCTTCTTTTTGGCCTCCGTGGGTTTTGATAAGAAATCAGCAAACATTCAAATTGTTTTTCCCTTACAGATAAAATATCTTTCCTCTTCTTACCACTTGCTTTCTTTTTTAGCTTTTAGGAAGTTTTTAGCATGGGTTTCTTTAGGCTTATCCTATTTGGAATTTACTTACCTTCTTAAATCTATAGGTTAATGTCTTTTGCTACGTTTGGGGTATTTTCAGACATAATTTCTCAAAGGACTATTTCCAGCCATTTTCTAATCCCTTTTGAAGACACAAATGAGATGAATATTAGGTCATTTGTTATAGTCCTATAGGTCACTGAGGCTTAATTTTCTTTTCTAATCAATTTCTTCTATTGTTCACATTGGGTGCTTTATGTTACTCTGTTTTCAAGTTTACTGAGTATTTTTTCTTTCTCTTCTACTCTGCTCTTAATTTTCTCTTGAGAATTCTTTTCTGTTTCCTTCTTCCTCCATTCTGCTTTTCAAATCTAAAATTTCCTTTTACTTTTGTTGCTTTGCTAGAACTTGCTTGACAAGCATATTCTGAATTAAGTTGATGACTTAAATTTTTGTGTTGAATAATTAATACCATCTTGATGTTAGCATCTGTTGTCTTTTTTTTTTCCTTCAGTTTGACGTCTTTCTGGGCCTTGATACTGATTTTTTTTTATTGAAACCTAGATATTTTGTGGTATTATGTTGTAAGACTCTAGATCTTCCTTAAACTTTATATTATAGCTGACTTCCCTTGACACTTCTCTGTCAAGGGAACAGGGGTTAGGGGCCACTGTGTTTCTCTGAGGTGGGAGTAGACCTTCGTGTTCTTTGTCTGCTTCCGCTGACCCCTGAGGGGATGTTTCTACATGCTGTTGGGTTCCCACATGGTCTTTGCTGACGCTGTGGGTGTGGGTAGATGGCCTCGCTACTGTCTATCAGGGATGAAGCCCTAGCTCCCCACTTAGTTTTTCCTGACACTACCCCAGCAGGAGATTTTGTATCCTGTTACTACCTGAAGGAGAAGCCTAGGCTTCCCACATAGCCTTTCCTGACATAGGTGGGGTGAGCCAGTTTTTTTCTGTGCTGTTGGACTATAGCAAAATAGTTATTGTCTCAACAGTTATGTTCCCACCCTTCTTTTCTCCTGGTCCTTTGCTAAAGAGAACATGATTTGGGGTGGGGAAGACCTTTTTTTTAATCTGTACACTCTGTCATTTCCATGTAGTTGGTAAAGGCCCATCATTTGTCCTGCCTTCTCTTCGCTTTTCAAATTTTTCTTATATTTATTTTGTATTTAGTGTTTAGGGGTTTTAGTTGAACCTAGAGTGAGGAATAGGGAAATGTTCATATCCCAGAAGCAGAAGTCTTCATTGCATTTTTAAATGAGTTTCTAGTACTTTGCATGAGCAGGCTGAAACCTCACCCAGCACCATTTGACCAAATCTTCTCTTGCTGTGAGCAGTAGAACAAATATATGCTGTAGAATGTCATGTATTTTGAATACCAGAGGTGAGCATACATAGCATTGTCCCCAGTTAACTCCATTGCCAAGGTCACCTCTTTGCTCCTGACCACCACCCAAAAGCAATCAGTTCTTTCTATTCCATTCTTTGGTTCTAACTTACAGAATGTGTAATATTTACTTAGGCTTCTGTCAGCTTTGATTCCTGTAGCAGTAACAATGACACCACTTTCCCAAAGTGGGAATAATTATTTTTCAAGGACTTGTTTCGCTATATTCCCAAGGTATTGAGCAGTAGATTGAAGTGAATCAGCATGAAGCCTCAGACCTTGAACCTTGAGGAAGTTGGGTTCTGATTTTGGCAGTTAAAATCCAAGTTCTGCCATTTTATTCCCAAGCTTTTATCATTAGTAATTTTGTCTGGAATTTGGGGTGTGTTTTCCCATAGAAATAAGTCAAGCACCAAAGAAATGAAACTGACACTTTACGTGGAACTTTACTGATTCTAAAGCACTTTTTCCATTTGTTTAAGTTCATTCTCACCTCAGG